AAATAAAATAAAATAAAATAAAATAAAATAAAATAAAATAAAATAAAATAAAATAAAATAAAATAAAATAAAATTAGAATATAACTTATAAAATAAAATTTTAAAAATATTATACAATAAAATGTAAAATAAAATATAAAATACGAAGTATAAAATATGATGAAAGCAAATTGGCTCAGGGAGAAGGAATAGAATGGAATAAAAGATGGGAAAATAAAATGGAAAAGAATAAAGCAAAATGAAATAGAGTAGGAGAAAACAAAATAAAATTAAGTAGAAGAGAATTCTAAAACTTTAATGGAAGACAAGAGAATGAAATAATAAAATAAAATTAAATTCAATTAAAATAAATTATAAACATTCAATTTAAAAAATTAAAATAAAACTATAAAACTGTAACATTATAAAACTATAACATTATGAAATTATAGAATAAAGGGAAAAACATCAAAAATATACAAATATATGGCCTAAAAGAAATTGTAATGTATTATATAAAGTATATAATACCTTATAATTAAATTAAATACATTATATACTATATATGTACATGTGTATTATGTATTATATATTAGTTATATTTTATAGTTGTATATTATTACTATACTTACAAATTAATGTAAAATATCTCAACGATGGAATATTTAATATACAGCAGAAAATAAAAACAATAAAAATATAAAGATGTCATTCAATATAATACAGAAAACATAAAGATATAATTAAATATAATACAAAACAATAATTAGATATTTATATACAATAAAATAGTGTGGGTGCATATAATTTTTATATATTTAATTTCTCATTATATTTCACAAATAGAAATATTACATTATTTTTATTTATTTTAACATAAACATTAAATTATTAATATCCAATATTTTACACAATTTGGTAGCTCCCCTTTCCCAGTTTTTTGGAGTCTCTGCGCCGTGATTCCTTTTTCCCATATTCCCATTTCCTTGGTGGGTTGGGAAAGCTGGGAACGTTCACCTGGAGAAGGGAAAATTCCAGGGAATGCTCAGAATCCTTAAAGGGGCTCCAGGAGAGCTGCAGAGGGACTGGGGACAAGGGACAGAGGGACAGGACACAGGGAATGGCTCCCACTGGCAAAAAGGAGATTGGGCTGGGATCTTGGCAAGGAATTCCTGGCTGGGAGGGTGGGCAGGAGCTGGGCTGGAATTCCCAGATTTGCTGTGGCTGCCCCTGGATCCCTGGCAGTGCCCAAGGGCACTGGGGTTGGATCCACCTGGGGCAGTGGGATTTTGGAGCAGCCCCTGGTTTGGGGCTCAGTGGTCGGTGGTGCCAAACCTGATCCATGGGCTCGTCGTGCCCATCCTCAGGGATTAAATCCCACTGATGGATTTTCCCGAATTCCTGCTCCTCCTGAATTGCTGGATGGGGAATATTTGGAGTGAGAGTTCTGGGAATGTCCATCCTGTAGGGGTTCACGCCGGATCTTCGTTAAGGTGGCGCTAATTAGATGGGCATTGGGTCCTCTTTGGCCCCACCACTGCAGGTTTGGGATCTGCCATTCCCAGGATTCAGCTGCTCCAGGGGATGGGACAATTCCGTGTTAGGGGACGTGCCTGGGGACGTGGGACTGTGCCCGAAAACATCCCAGTGGTCAGCACGGAGGGACCAACGGGGTCACTGGGATGAGGACACTGCTCTGGGTTCACTGGGACAGGGACACCTCTCTGGGGACCCAGCTCTGATCCCAAAACCATCCCAGTGGTCAGCACGGAGTGACCAACGGGGTCACTGGGATGAGGACACTGCTCTGGGTTCACTGGGACAGGGACACCTCTCTGGGGACCCAGCTCTGATCCCAAAGCCATCCCAGGGGTCAGCACGGAGTGACCAACAGGGTCAGTGGCACGGTGACACCGCTCTGGGGTCAGTGGCACGGTGACACCGCTCTGGGCTCAGTGACATGGTGACACCGCTCTGGGCTCAGTGACACGGTGACACCATCCCAGAGCCCCCGGCTGTGCCCGGTGGCAGTCAGTGCCTCGATGTCGCCGTGCGGGTGTCGCCGATGTCCCCGAGGGGAGGCGCGGCCCGGCGGTGCCCGGCGGTGGCGGGAGGCGATGTCCCCGCGGTGTCCCCGCGGTGTCCCCCGGTTCCCGCAGCTCCCCCACTGGGGCTCCTTTGTGCCGTGTCACCGCGGGCCCGGCGTGTCCCCAGCGAGCCGCCGGTGACACCGGGGGGAGCCCCGCGGCTCGGGGTCCCTCCCGCTCTAACCGGAGTGTCTTCCCACCCGTGTCCTTCCCTCACCCCCGTGTCCGTCTGTCCGTCCCTCCCGCCTCTCTCTGTCTCTCTCTCTGCCTCTCCTGCCCCTCTGCTCTGCCAGGGAGGGAGGGAAGGAGGGCGGGAGCTCCCGGGGGGGAGTTTAGGGGGGTCTGCGGTGGGCAGGGGCGGGTTTGGGGTGCGGGGATCCCGCGGGGCTCAGCCTGGATTCCCCGCTGACCTCGGCCAGGGGTGCGGGTGTCCCCAGCTGGGTCTGTACCCAGCAATCCAGGGTCCCCTCACGTGTCACCCGGCCCCCCCGCCAGGGAAGGGGACAGGAATTTGGGGTTGAGGAGAATCCAGCCGGTCCCGTAGCTCAGCATTCCCGGGAAAAGCAGCGCAGGGAGAGCCAAGCACGGCGCGGGGGAGCTCAGCTCTGGGCTCCTTCCGCAGGCTCCCGTCCCCAAGGTCCCATCCCTGGGGTCCCATCCCTGGGCTCCTGTCCCGAGTCCCATCTCTGGGATCCCATTCCTGGGGTCCCATTGCAGGGACAGGAAGCTGGAATCCTTGGGGTCCCAACCCTGGGATCCCATTCCTGAGGTCCCATCCCTGAGATCCCCTCCCCGGCCTCCTGTCCTGAGTCCCATCCCTGGGATCCCGTTCCTGGGGTCCTGTTCTAGGGACCTAGCAGCCTGGGGTCCTTGGGGTCCCATCCATGGAATCCCATCCCTGAGATCCCGTCCCTGGGCTCCTGTCCCAAGTGCCATCCCTGGAGTCCCATTCCTGCAGGCCCATCTCTGGGTTCCTGTCCCCAGCTCCATTCCTGGGGTGCCATTCCAAGGACAGGACTCTGGGGTCCTTGGGGTCCCACCCCTGTGATCCCATCCCTGGGATTCTGTCCCACAAAAAGCAGCGCAGGGAGAGCCAAGCACGGCGCGGGGGAGCTCAGCTCTGGGCTCCTTCCGCAGGCTCCCGTCCCCAAGGTCCCATCCCTGGGGTCCCATCCCTGGGCTCCTGTCCCGAGTCCCATCTCTGGGATCCCATTCCTGGGGTCCCATTGCAGGGGCAGGAAGCTGGAATCCTTGGGGTCCCAACCCTGGGATCCCATTCCTGAGGTCCCATCCCTGAGATCCCCTCCCCGGCCTCCTGTCCTGAGTCATATCCCTGGGATCCCGTTCCTGGGGTCCTGTTCTACGGACAGCAGCCTGGGGTCCTTGGGGTCCCATCCCTGGAATCCCATCCCTGAGATCCCATCCCTGGGATTCTGTCCCACGTCCCGTTCCTGGGGTCCCATCCCTGGGGACACATCCCCAGGCTCCCATCCCTGGAATCCTATTCCTGCACTCCTGTCCCAAGTCCCATCCCTGCAATCCCATTCCTGGGCTGCCATCCATGGGTTCCCAACCCTGGGCTCCTGTCCCCAGCTCCGTTCCAGGGGTCCCATTCCAGGAACAGGAGACTGGGATCCTTGGGGTCCCATCCCTGGGGTCCCATCCATGGGGTCCCATCCCCAGGCTCCCAACCCTGGGATCCCTTTCCTGAGGTCCGATCCCTGGGCTCCTGTCCTAAGTCCCATCCCTGGGATCCCATTCCTGACGTCCCATTCCAGGGACAGGAATCTGGGATCCCATTCCTGGGGTGCCATCCTTGGGGTCCCATCCCTGGGGTCCCATCCATGGGGTCCCATCCCCAGGCTCCCAACCCTGGGATCCCTTTCCTGAGGTTCGATCCCTGGGCTCCTGTCCCGAGTCCCATCCCTGGGATCCCATTCCTGACGTCCCATTCCAGGGACAGGAATCTGGGATCCCATTCCTGGGGTGCCATCCTTGGGTTCCCATCCCTGGGTTCCTGTCCCTAGTCCCATTCCTGGGGTGCCACTCCTGGGGTGCCATCCACGGGGACCCATCCCCAGGCTCCCAACCCTGGGATGTCATTCCTGGGGTCCCATTCCTGGGATCCCATTCTTGGGATTCCATTCCTGGGGTCCCATCTCAGGGACCTCATCCCTGGGATCCCATTCCTGAAGATCCATCTTTGGGGTTCCATCCCCAGGATCCCATTCCTGGGGTTCCATCCTTAGAGTTCCATCCCTGGGATCCCAACCCCGGGTTCCTGTCCCAAGTCCCATTCCTGGTGTGCCATTCCTGAAGATCCATCTTTGGGGTTCCATCCCTGGGGTGTTATTCCTAAGGTTCCATCCTTGGGGTTCCATCCCTGGGATCCCAGCTCTGTGTTCCTGTTCCAAGTCCCATCACTGGGGTTCCATCCTTGGGGTTCCATCCCTGGGGTGCCATCCTTGGGGTTCCATCCCCGGGACCTCATTCCTGGGGTTCCATCCTTAGGGTTCCATCCCTGGGATCCCAACCCCGGGTTCCTGTCCCAAGTCCCATCCCTGGGGTGCCATTCCTGAGGTTCCATCCTTGGGGTTCCATCCCCGGGACCTCATTCCTGGGGTTCCATCCTTAGGGTCCCATCCCTGTGATCCCATTCCTGGGGTCCCTGTCCCAAGTCGCATTCCTGGGGTGCCATCCCTGGTCTCCAGTCCCGAGTCCCATCCCGGTGCTCTCATTCCCCGCAGGCTCGGGCCCCTCTCCCCGCCGGCCCCGCAGGAATTCTCCCTTTCCCTGGGAGCGGCCGCATCCCGGGAGGGCGGATCTCGCTTGGCCGTGCTGCAGCTCACCGAGCGCCAGGTCAAGGTGTGGTTCCAGAACCGCCGCACGAAGCAGAAGAAGGACCAGAGCAGGGACTCTGAGAAACGCTCCTCCGGCACCTCCGAGTCCTTCGCCACCTGCAACATCCTGCGGCTGCTGGAGCAAGGCCGCCTGCTGTCCGTGCCGGCCCCGCCGAGCCTCCTGTCCCCGCCGTGCAGCGCCGTCCCCGCCGCCAGCCCCGCCGCCAGCCTGGCCTCGCCGGGCCGCGCCTCCCCGGGGCTCGGCGGCGGCGGCAGCCCGCCGGCCCCGCCGCCCTTCGCGTCCCTCGCCGCTTCCTCTTCATCCTCCTCGCCCTCGCCGTCGTCGCCGCGGCTGCCGCTGTGTTTCGGGGCCCCGCTGCTGGGCGGCCTGCACGATCTGCCCGGTTCTTGCCCGCCGGGAGCGTCCGCGTTCGAGCCTTACGCGCGGCTGGAGAGGAAGGACAATTCTATACCCAGCAAGAAGCCGAGCCCTTAAAAGAAACTTTCTCTCTCTCTCGTACCTCTCGCTCTCTCCTGGCTCTCGCCTCTCTCTCCCCGGCCCCCCCGCGCTCTCTTTCCGTCCGCGCCCTCCTGTCCCAAAAAAACCCCCCCCCCCCCAAAAAAAAAAAAACGGTGTCAAAAAGAGTCACCTCCCCCCCCGCCACCCCAAGCCCAGATCGTGCCCTCCACCTGGGAATTCCCGCTGGGAATGTGCGCCCCCGGGAATGGCAGCTCCCCCCTGGCCGGTGGTGGCGCGGGTGGCACCAGGGTTGAGCTGGTGACACTCCGCGGTGTCGCTGTCACCGGCGCTGCCCCAAAGCCCCGCTCCAGGTACCGGCGGGCGGGGACAGGAGCAGCGGGGGGTGGCGCTGGCCCGGGTGTCTCTTCCGGGGGGGACAAAAGGGACAGCGCGAGCTGGCACCGGGCTCTGTCCCCGCGGTGTCCTCGGGGAAGCGCCGTGCCTCAGTTTCCCCGCCTGCGCCGGGCTGAGGTCCCCGCGGTGACCGCAGGGTCCCGGCGCTGCTCCCGGGGGGGTGTTTGTCCTCCGAGGACGGCTGCGGTGGCCTGGGTGGTGTCCCCGGTTGTCGCCGTGCTGGGAACCAGCTGCTGCCGCCACCCGCAGGCTCCTGCCGAGCCCGAGCACCGCCCCGTCCCTTTTTGGGGCCGCCCCGTCCCTTTTTGGGGACGCCCCGTCCCTTTTTGGGGCCGCCCCAGCCTGGCCGACCCCGCAGGGATCCCCCCCGGGGGGCTGTGGGTCACTGTCCCACCCCGCTGGATGACACCTGGGGACAGCGGTGACAGTGGCATCTGCCGCTCTGGGGCGGGGCAGGTCCAGCAGCACCCCCAGACCACCCCGGGGTGGCACCGCGGTGACACTGGCACCCGCCACACCCCCCCTTGTCACCTGCCACAGCCAGGGTCCCCTCCCAGGTCCCAGCGGGTGACAGCGGCTTCCACTCGGGTGAGGGTGGGCTTGGGGACCAGGGGGACTTTGCAGGAGGTGGCCCTTGGGGACAGGGGCAGCTGCTGGGGGGGGGGGGGGGGGGTGCAACCACTGCGGGA